ACTCTTGTTGCCCAGGCTGGAATGCAATGGTGCAATCTCGGCTCACCACAACCTCCACCTCCTGGTTTCAAACGATGCTCCTGCTTCAGCCTCCTGAGTAACTGGGATTACAGGCATGTGCCACCACACCCAGCTAATTTTGTATTTTTAGTAGAGACAGAGTTTCTCCATATTGATCAGGCTGGTCTCAAACTCCTGACCTCAGTTGATCCGCCTGCCTCAGCCTCCCAAAGTGCTGGCATTACAGGCATGAGCCACCATGCCCAGCTGTATTACACTCTTAAGTAAAGTAGAATATAAAGCTGTATACGGGAGATTTCCACTTACAGTAATTACAAGCTAGGTCATTTGAACCACCTCTTCTGCAGAGAAAAACAAATACTGAACAGAATATTTCTTTAAAAAGAGAGAAAAAAGAAACAAAGAAAAATCGTAAAGGCATTTGAGTAACCGACAAGGTGATGAAAAACCATCAATTCAAAATTTAAGTTCTCTGCAGACTTAAATTCCGTTTGTCTTGACATTTCAGGCTTCTTTCTTCTAAGGATATTTCTGGTTCCCGAAGAGGCAGTTGAGAGGCTAAATAATGCCTTTGACAGCCATCCATCTGTGGCTAAGGAAATTAGAGTCCAGAACCTATCAAATAGGATGCTACTAAATCTCTTCTACTCAAGTGCTTTATAAGGGTGAACAAGAAAAACAACCCAGATTATAGTCCTGCTCCAGGTTATCAAGGTAGCCTAGAAAACCTTAGTTTCTAAAGTTGAATTACAGTGATCTTGGATTACTGATATTCCCAGGGACCTCAAATTATTTCTACAAATATTTCTTCAACACAATGAGCAACTTTTAACCAAAGATAATCAGGCAGAAGGAGATAAAACACTCTGAAATGAATAAGAAACAGCATGCATAACAGACTGTATAGACACTCGAAAGTTAGCTCCAGCTAGGTACTGACTGGCTCTAACAGACACTGACTTTAAAATAATTATGCTTGCTATCATCAAGCTAAAAGACAAGATTGCAATGTTTACTGAAGAATTGGAAACTATAAACTGGCAAAGCAGATTGGAGAAGGAACCAAATAAAAATTATAGAACTGAAGAAAAATATAATAACAAATTTAGAACCCAATGGATCTAACAACAGATTAAAAAAATCGGCGAACTGGAAGGAGAAACCATGCAGATCAATAAAGAGAGAAAGAAAGATAGTTAATTCAGAAAACAGAGAAAAGGCATAATATTAGAATGAGGTCCAACTTATGTATAACTGGAGTTTAGAAAAAAAAGGAAAGGGAAAATAGGGCAAAAGCAGTATTTGAAGAGATAATGGCCAAGAATGTTACAAAATTAAAAAGTAAAATTACACCATAGATTCAAGAAACCCGACAAAAATCAAAGCAGGATAATATAAGAGAGGCTCTACATAGATAACTCAAAAAAATAAAACAGAAGTAAGGCCAGGCACAGTGGCTCACACCTGTAATCCCAGCACTTTGAGAGGCCAAGGCAGGTGGATCACGTGAGGTCAGGGGTTCAAGACCAGCCTGGCCAGCACGGTGAAACCTTGTCTCCACTAAAAATAGAAAAATTAGCCGGGCATAGTGGCGGGCACCTGTAATCACAGCTACTTGGGAGGCCGAGACAGGAGAATCGCTTGAACCCGGGAGGCGGAGATTGCAGTGACCTGAGATCTGGCCATTGTACTCCAGCCTGGATGACAGAACAAGACTGCATCTCAAAAAAAAGAAAAAAAAGTAAAATCTTAAAAGCATCCAGGAAAAAACATATTACATTCAAAGAGAGAACAATTAAAGTGATAGCTGACTTCTCAACTGAAAGTACTGAATCCGGAAGACAAGGGACTGTTAGAGTTAAGGTGTTAAAAGAAAATAAGTGCTGGTCTAGAATTCTATGCCTGGAGGAAGTATCCTTCAGAAATTAAGACATTTTAAGACTAAAAAGACTGAGATAAGTTGTTATTAGTAGGCCTACTCTAAAGGGAACACTAAAGGATATCAGACCGAAGGAAAATGACCTTTGGTGGAAGGTCAGAGATGCAGGAAGGAATAAAGAGCAATGAAGATGGTAAATATGTGGATAAATCTAAATGAATATTATAGAAAACAATAATGCTTTGTGTGGTTTAAATATATATTAAGAATTAAAATTCATCAGGACAATGGCTTATATATTAGGAAGAAGTAAAGTAGTTTAAAGTGTTCTAATACTCTTGCATTGTCTTGGCAGAAGGGTAAAAGTAACAGTCAATATTGGATTTTGATGGGTCAAATGCATAATAGATTTTTAAGAAATTAAAATTTATATGGAAAAGCAAAGGTCCAAGAATAGACAGACTATTCTGAAGAATAAGATGAGGGTCTTTCTCTAGTAGATATTGAAACAAATTATGATCCTTTTTAATAGCTGCTCTAAGACCTAAAATATGTATCCTTAACTAACCACGGTCTGCCATAAATCTGTATTAAAATATTTTGCATATAATGTAGGATCCTCTTTCAGTATGCTTCCTCTTATTCCCCTTTGGGCTATAGTTTTCATACATTTTATTTCTGCATACGTCATACAACCCACAATACATTATTATTTTTGCTTCAAACGGTCAATTATTCTTTCAGAAAAATTAGGAAACAAAAATATATAATTTTTACCTTTCCTGTGCTTTTTATTTTTGTGTAGATTTCATTTTCCATTTGGTATCATTTTTCTCCAGTCTGAAGGAAAATGTCAGAATACTAAGAATTGTCTTAGCATCTATTTATCTGGAAAAGTCTATTTCACTGTCATTGTGAAAGATATTTTGACTGGATATAGAATTCTGGTTGACTCTTTTCTACTTTCAGCACTTTAAAGATTTTTGTTTCTGTTATCTTCTGGATCTTACAGTTTCTAATCAAAGTTATTTTCTTTATTCCTCTATGCATAATGTGTCATCATTTCTCAGACTGCTTTTAAGATTGTCCCTTTTATCACTTGTTTTCCACTATATGATAATGATGTTCCTGTTATTTTTTTTTTTAATGCTTAGACTTTTTGAGGTTCTTGAATCTGTCCCATATTTTTCATTAAATTGGAACATTTTCAACCATGATCCTTCAAATAATTATTCTGTCCCACCTCTCTCTCCTCTTCTTTGGGACTTCAACCGAATGTTACTAAACCACAGGTTACCAAGACTCTGTTTATTGATATTGTTTTTGGTTTTGTTTTAATTAATAGACATTGTTTGTAGCCATTTTAGGTTTATAGAAAATTGAGCAGATAGTATAGAGAGAGTTCTTGCTCCCTCACAGTTGCCCCTATAATTAGTATCTTACATTAGTATAGTTATAAATGCCCACTATGTTGCCTAGGCTGGTCTCAAACTCCTGGGTTCAAGCAGTCCTTCCATCTTAGCCTCTTAAAGTGCTTGAATTACAGGTATGAGCCACCATACCTGGTCTTTTTTGCACATTTTGTTTGCTCCTTAAAAGTTTTTGATTTTCAGGAAAAAAAAATTAAATTTTAATTAAAAAAATTATGGGCTGGGCGTGGTGACTCATGCCTGTAATCCCAGCACTTTGGGAGGCTGAGGCAGGCAGATCACAAGGTCAAGAGATCGAATACATCCTGGCCAACATGGTAAAACCCCATCTCTGTTAAAAATACAAAAATTAGCTGGGCATGGGGGTGCGTTCCTGTAGTGCCAGCTACTCTAGAGGCTGAGGCAGGAGAATCACTTGAATCCAGGAGGCGGAGGTTGCAGTGAGCCGAGATCACGTCCCTGAACTCTAGCCTGTTGACAGAGCAAGACTCCATCTCAAAAACAAAACAACAAAAAAAATAGTTATGACTTTAAAATTGAAAAAAACAAATAAAAAGTGTTTGATTTTCTTCTTGTTTATAAGCACCTAAAGTATATACATTTATAAGTACATGTTTCTCATGATATTCATATTGTGTTTTGAATTCTCAGAAATTGTATTATTCTTGTTCCATTGGCATTACTTGCCAAATTCAGGGTTGTTATTTTATTTTTATCTTTTCTAGGCCCAGCTTCAGAGGGAAAAAGGGCAAGATGAGATGAAGCTGTATGCAAAACTTGAAAAGCTTGATGTCTTAGAAAAAGAGTGTTTTAGACTTACAGCAACTCAGAAAACTGCTGAGGTAAACTTTCTTTGAAGTGATGACAACAGGAGTAAATCTTTAGTGTTAAGCATAATTGGTATTTTATGTGTATGTAGAGTAAATCTTAGATTTATAAAACTTTATTGACAACTTTTAATAATCCAGATATGAATTCTTACCTGTAGAGTGAGAGTTAATGTGTTCTGTCACAGTATGAATGAGCTGTCTTTTGATGTGAAATTGTAATTTTGACTTCTAATATGGCAGGAGATTTTCATTTGTCAGATACTTTACCTAAAGGATATGGAAAAATTGTCTCATACCACTTATAGTCAAATTAATCCTATTCCAGTTCCCCTCTCCATCCTTTTCCCCTCCAAATCCTTTCCATTTTATAGGGTTTTCTCATAGTCGTAATTCCTCTAGGAAGTCGTCCTTGAGCTTTCCAACACTCAGGAAGTCCTCCTTTTGAAATAGTACTGTCTTTCTATTCTGAACCACACCACAGATATAAGATGTGATACTTACATATATAAGGTTATATGTATATATGATCCCTTTCAAATTATTTCCTTGCTTTGTTGTTTTATTGTTTTGTGACTATTACTCTTTTTTTTCTTTTCATACAGTACAGGTTGGGTATCCCTAACTCCAAAATCTGAAATGCTCCAAAATCCAAAACTTTTGAACACTTAAAATGTTCAGAGGAAATGTTCATTGGAGTAATATAGAATTTTGAATTTTTGGATTAGAGGTACCAAACCAGTAATGAAAATATTCCAAAATCTAAAATATCTCTGGTTCCAAGCACTTCAGATATGGGATACTCAATCTGTACAAGCTCTTAAGTAACAAGGATCACATTGTGTATTTCTATTATGTCTTTTCACTCTTCTTGCTCCCAAAATTACACTTATTATATTTATGCAAATAGTAGAAACTTATTTTTATATGTTTTGAATGAAATGTTGAGACCCAAGACTGTGATTGTTTGACCTACACCTTAAATTTTCATCATAATGATTTTGTTGCTGGAAGTTAATAAAGCTTATGTGTGTGTATATTCTTTGCTTTCCCTTTGTTCTCCTTGTATGTAATAGAAGGTAAAAAAGCAAATAAAGAAGTGTGAAGAAAACCAAGAAAAATCTTAACATTGGCTGGGTGTGGTGACTTATGCCTGTAATCTCAGCATTTGGGAGGCAGGGCGGCAGGGCAGGGGTGAATCACGAGGTCAGAAGTTCGAGACCATTCTTGCTAACATGGCGAACATCCTTAGTAGGTGGGCCTCTACTAAAAATACAAAAAATTAGACAAGCGTAGTGGCACACACCTGTAGCCCCAGCGACTTGGGAGGCTGAGGCAAGAGAATTGCTTGAACCCGGGAGGCGGAGGTTGCAGTGAGATTGCACCACTGCACTCCAGCCTGGGTGACAGAGCAAAACTCTGTCTCAAAACAGAATCTTAACATCTTGTGCCTTTCCTTTTTATCATTTTCTGCCTTAATTTGCGAAACTCTTAAGAATCAAGACCCTTAGGACTCTATTTGGAAAAGAACAAAGGATACTTGGCTCATATAACAATGTTAATTTTTCACTCTTTTGCAGGACAAGATTAAATATTTAGAAGAACGACTTAAGGAAGAAGAACATCAACGTAAGCTATTTCAAGACAAAGCTTCTGAGGTAAATATAGCACTATATAGTCTATCACAGTAAACCATATATGTTTTACCATATTTTTGTTTTCATCAAACTGAAACCTGTGTTCTAGATTCCAATTTGTGCTTCCTAAATTGTCTTTTTGTTATGATAATGAAATTCTCACTCAGCCAGTATAATACTTGGCTGTATTATCAAGAGGTCTTTTAATCTTTTGAAATTCTGACAAGTAACATATATTCTCAGTTGAAAGAACTCCTAGGGTAAATTATTTTCAGTTTGACTTACATATGTATATTAAATAATTTACTCTTTTATAAACAAAATTATTGTAATTACCAATAGGCTTAGTGACCTTCACACGTACAAAAATAGTATTTCAAATTTTCTTTTCTTCTTCAAAAATTATTTTCATATTTATAAACTTAGACCTGATAGCTCATTATAGTGTTTTTGCATGTTACAAATCAATTTTATAACTTTTTTTTTAAAACATTATAGCTTCAAACTGGACTTGAAATCAGTAAAATTATAATGTCTTCAGTTTCAAATCTAAAGCACTCCAAGGAAAAGAAGAAATCTTCAAAGGTGTGCATATAAAACTTTATTCCAAACAATACTTTTATTTGATAATACTTGTTTTATACCCTCTTAATGCTTATACCTACCCCTTTCTAAAAAGGATTTGAAGATATATAATAAAAGATATGCAGTAATGCATGCTAAATAATGAATGATGATTTGGGGTATAAGGACAGAAAATTTCATAAGATTCAGGTTAAAAAAAAGTAGCAGCAGTCATGTAAAAAATTTAGCTCTGAGTTTTCTTGACAACCAAAGCAAAAAGGAACATGTAATGGACAGTGTAGCCATCTTTGTGAAATAACAGGAAGCTCTCAAAGTTTTCTAGAAAGATTAACATTTTTCTAGTTTTAAACTTCTGGAGAAATATATTTCGTGATACTTTATAAAAGAGTCACTAAACAGCATAGTAGATATTGACAACATAATAGATCCTGAAAGCAGTTTTATGTAATACATGCACAATAAAAAATAAAGGTTTTTCTTACAGATTTGTTAAGTCTGTAAAGTCATTTATATAGAGAATTTATTGTTATGTGTAATTTCTATGCTCATTTCTTGTGAATTTGCCTAAAAGTAAGGATTGGAGAGTTGGTACTTTATAGATCAATATTTTGTTTAGATGAATTCATGTTTTGAATGCATTCTATTTAAGTAACCCTTCTTAATTATGTATAATGGTATGAAAAATGTTTTTAGTCCCTTTTAATCTTATGATTCTGGAATTATGGTTTTGATGGCCATTATTACTATTTATTTAGATATGAATGGAGTGAGTGTTGCTGTGTGCCATTTGCTGTGGGAGACAGGAGATGCTGTTTGGGAATTCTAGCCACTGCCATGTGCTTAGCTTATAGATAAAATAATGGAGAGAACATTATACTTAACTTTGGCTACTCTTATTGCATAAATAAGAATTCATGTTCAATACTTGCACTGTATATTTCATAATTTTTTCATTTTAAAGAATTTTTAAACTACAATAATGAAAAATATTTCCCTAATATGACTTATTTTGCTTATTTTCTTTCCTAAATACTTGTTTTGTGTCTTGTTTGTGCAGTGAAATTCACATTTACAAAGCCAAATAGAAAAATCACTGTAAGTAATTTGACAGTGGAACACATATTGCCCAATATGTATGTTTTATGGCATCCTCTCTCTGATGATAACTTTTTTAATGGAACTTTTTTTCAGTTTACCTATTTATTGTAAAAATAGTGAAGGTATAGAGGGAAGATAAAAGAAATGAAGGAAAGAAAAGGTAACCCCTGGAAGAGAACAGAGTAATTAACAGCAGAATCACTTTATAGAAGTACGTAGTTCAAATCCCAAGTTCACAGGGTGTGCAAATAATGATTTCTCCCATTAAAGATGGAGGTAGTGCCAAAGTTGCTGAAAGTAGGATCAGATTTCAAGAAGCCTGTATGAGAGGCCTGCTTCCTATCCCACTGCTTGTCCATGTCCTGGACATAGTTCATTCAACTTATACATTTTAATGTGCATAGACTGGTATCTCTAGGTGATAAAAAGCTAAGTAAGACAGGAATTTGTGAGAAATAGATAAATATATAAATATAAAACAGTGTAATAGAAAATTAATAGAGGTTTAAACAAAGTGTGTTGTGGTGCTGTGTAGACAAAGGAATATGTGAAAGGTAATGTGCAAGAAGCTATATTAAAGGAAGGCTTGAAGAATTAAGTATTGACAGACTGAGATGAGGAAAAATGTATTATAGTCTGAGGAAATTGTTGGTTTTTCCAGGGACCTATAGGTAATAGTCCAGTAGTGGGGGTGAGATGGGATCATAGTGAAAGTTAAAATGGAAAATAGAGCTTGGGGTGAGCTAATGGCTGACCTTGAATGCCATGTTAAGAGTTTGAAATTTTATTCTATAAACAGGAACCATTGAAAGCTTCTGAGAAGTGTAGGGACATAATTAGAGTTGTAATTTCAGATGGTAACTGACAGCAATAGGAAAGTTTTACATAGAGAGAAATCATATGTGCAGATTTTATGAATCATATGTGTAGATTCATGTCACTATCACAACAATCAAGATACAGAACTCTTCTACCACTAAAAGACTCCTTCATGCTATACATCCCTTCCCTGAACATTGGCCACCTCTACTCTGTTCACCATCTGTGTATTTTATTATCTCAAGAATGTTATATAAATGGAATTATACAGTATGTAACTTTTTGTGATTGGCTTTTTTCCCTTGAGGTCCATCCAAATTGTTATAAGTATCAATATATTCTTTGTATTTCTGCCTGGTATTCCGTGTTACAGATATACCACAATTTAACCATTCACCTGTTTAAGGATATTTGAGGCTGGGTGTGGTGGCTCACACCTGTAATCCCAACACTTGGGGAAGTCAAGACAGATGGATCATTTGAGGTCAGGAGTTCAAGACCAGCCTGGCCAATATGGTGAAACCCTGTCTCTACTAAAAATACAAAAATTAGCCTGGCAGTAGTGTCACTCGCCTGTAATCCCAGCTACTCAGGAGCCTAAGGCAGGAGAATCGCTTGAGCCTGGGCGACTGAGGTTGTGGTGAGCCAAGATTGCACCGCTGTACTCCAGTCTGGGTGACAGAATGAGACCCTGTCTCAAAAAAAAAAAAAAAAAAACAGTTTTTTAGCTATTACAAATAAAGCTGCTATGAACATTTGTGCACAGGTTTTTATGTGAACATAACTTTTCATTTTTCTAGGATAAATGCCTAAGAGAACAATTGTTGGGTCATGTGATAAGCATGTTTTTAGTTTTATAAGAAACTGCCAAACTGTCTTCCAAAATGGTTGTACCATTTTGTATTCCCACCAACAATACGTGAGTGATTCATTTTCTCTACATGCTTGCCAACATTTGGTATTGTCACTATTTTTTATTTTGGCCATTCTGATAGATGTGCAGTGATATTTCACTGAAATTTCAACTTGCATTTCCATAATAACTAATGATGTTGAATATCTTTTCATATGTTTGCCATATGTATGTCTTTGTCAGTGAAATTTCTGTTCATGTCTTTTGCCTATTTTCCAGCTGCACTGTTTTCTGTTGAGTTTTGAGAGTTCTTTATATCAGAAGTAACTTTTTAAATAATTTTTTGTTTATGTTTTTTCTTGTCAATCCCTAGAAAACTAAATGTGTAAAGAGAGGACCACCTAGGCAAATTTGTTCAAAGTTTGGAGCACTGCCTTTTGTGGCTGAAAAGGTAAGAGGGGATAAAATGAAGATAGTTGTTCAAAAAAACTGCTGCTTTGTTGTAAATGCTATTTAAATGTCTTCAGTCATTTAAAATTGTTCTCAGTTATTTCTTTTCCAATACGTTCGCCAGTGCAAGCTGTTACTTGAATGCAAATATGCAAAAATTTTTGCAGATGAGGCAACATCGTGGCCCACATATCCTTCAGAAATCTTCTAATGAGACTGAGCCTAGATGTCTCCCCAAGTCTTCTAGAACAACTTCCTGGTGTAAGGCTATTCCTACTGATTCAGAAAAGTCCATTTCCATTTGTGACAATTTATCTGAACTTTTGATGGCAATGCAAGATGAGCTGGACCAAATGAGTATGTAAGTATTCTTTTTTTTTTTCTTTAAAGAGACAATGTCTTGCTATGTTGCCCAGGCTAGTCTTGAACTCCTGGTTTCAGGTAGTCCTCCTGCCTTGGCCTCCCAAAATGCCGGAATTACAAATATGAGCCACCATGCCTGACCAGTATTTTTATTCTTTATCAGGAGAAGTATCAAGATATTTAGATATCATTTTTATCTTCTTAGCCTTAAGAACAATACCACTTATAAATTCTTAAAGGCCTTACTTAGCCATTTGGACAGACTTACTGTCACAGTTTTTTCATTGTATTTATTAGTATTATTTAAAATTTCAATTCTGTGTAACCAGTACTTTTTCATTCTAAGGTATTTCTGTATTCACAAAACCTGGACTGATAGATATTACCATCATTCTAACATATAGGATCTGATGACCTTAGATTATAACTCACAAAAGCTTTTATAAGGCCCTCCCTTTGTGTTTTAGAATCTTTTAGCTGAATGAATGATTTCATTAGACAAGTAGGAATGTAATACCTTGTTTTAGATTCTGGCTGGTCTGCGTTACAAATTTTGAAGCATCTATAGTAAGGAAGATTTCCATGTGAGATACATTATATTGTGCCTCCCTCTCCCGTAAATATATATTCAACAGAAATTTCAGAACTATGTGATTTGGCTGACCAGCTAGTTGATCTAAGACCTCTGTAGAACATATAACTAATTCTATTAACAGCATTTCAGTAGGCTAACTCCAAATCCAGAAGATTTTCAGGCAAATACCACAGCTGGAATTCTTCCAAAGATCTTACATCAATAATGAAGAAGAGAGCCCTTTAATACTTCTAGTTAAAGACATCAAATATCTTACTACATGGATCTGTGAACATCAAGAATTCAGATTTTTTTAAAAGTTCCTTAGCAATGTTATATTTACCATAGATTTAAACAACCCTAAAGAAGGAGACTTTTTAAAGGGTAATGTTTAACTCTGACTGAAACTTATGATTGAACAGAAAATTGCTTAATTATGGTAAAGACATATATGCAATAAACTATAATAGTGCTTAATATTTGCTATTCTTTCATAGGGAGCACCAAGAACTACTGAAACAAATGAAGGAAACTGAAAGCCATTCAGTGTGTAATGACATAGAATGTGAACTAGAGTGTTTAGTCAAGAAAATGGAAATTAAAGGAGAACAAATCTCCAAACTGAAGAAGCATCAAGACAGTGTAAGAAGGCTTTAGTAAGAGATTTTAATAAAAAGCTAAAATATCTGGATTCAGTGTTATATCTCTGTATGACCTTCCAAATTTGAGGTCTGTATATGGGAATTAGGGAAAAGATAGATGGTAGTCACATAGGCCTGTGACAAAATACAGCCATCTGTCCCATTGGAATAACATGGACCTCCTACATAACTCTCCAAGTTAAAATTTTTTAAGTGAGCAAAGAAACTTAGTTATGTATTCAGAAATGGCTTTGGGAAAATTGTGAGGTAGATTAAACTTGCGTTAGAAGCCCTCCAGTTATCCTCTTAGCAATCTATTTTCTTTCCCTTCTCTCTTCTAATGCTTTAATGATACCCTTTATGTCAGCAGGTCTCTGATTCACTACCAGACATAAACCTGGCTCCCAAGCAGTGCCCCAATTCTTAAAGCATGTTTCCCCTTTCCCAAAACAAGCTATGCTATGTTCCATTCCCTGGGGACCCATACTAGGCTAGCTATAGTGAGTAGGATGGGGATGGTGAGGAAAACTCTATGCTTATATGTTAAGTCTTAATAACTAAGAATAGTGAATGGTTTACTATTTTAACAAGTATCATGGAATATAATATTTAATTCCAAGACAATGACTCCATAGGTTGAACTTGCAGCACTATAACACTGTTGGAGCAGAAGGCAGAGGGAGCCTTTCCAGGGAACCCTCAAGTCGCATCATGTAGCCATATGTCTATGGACAAAATCACCATTCATCAAAGTTAATGTTATATAAATGTCACAAGTAAGCCTCCCTGCTTTTTATAGGAAAGTAATAAAAGATGCAGAATATTATTATTTTTATTCTTCTTATGACAAAGAAGGGAAGAAAGAAAGAAGTGAAATTTTTAAAACAAATATTTTTATTTTTCTGTCTTTTAAGGCTATAATAAGTAAAAATTTCTGTATGATTGTTTTGGAGTGAAGATTATACAACTTGTACACTTTCTTGAAATTGCATAGGAGAAAATTGCATAGAAGAATGATCATTTTTTAAACTCAGGTAGTTTATACTATATTTTGAAAAACGTGATTTATATTCTATAATAGCTAGAACAGTTATAAATTTTTAAGCATAATGTAATATCTGTAATAAAAATTGCCTGTTAGCCAAATAGAAAACTAGGTACTCACCCAAAGTCTGAATCAGCTCTGCAAATTAAACCTATGCTACAAATTAAACCTATGCTCAAGTGACATAGCCTAAGTAATGGGTTAGACTTTGAAAAAATGGGTTTTGGCCAGTTGATAGGTATTGTTTTTGTTTAATTCTGTCTGCCTCCACTATTACCATGTACTACTCAAGGATAAAGTTATTCCCTTGACTTTTTTTAAAACTGCTATTCAGGGCCGGGCGCGGTGGCTCAAGCCTGTAATCCCAGCACTTTGGGAGGCCGAGGCGGGTGGATCACGAGGTCAAGAGATCGAGACCATCCTGGTCAACACGGTGAAACCCTGTCTCTACTAAAAATACAAAACATTAGCTGGGCATGGTGGCGCATGCCTGTAATCCCAGCTACTCAGGAGGTTGAGGCAGGAGAATTGCCTGAACCCAGGAGGTGGAGGTTGCGGTGAGCCGAGATCGCGCCATTGCACTCCAGCCTGGGTAACAAGAGCGAAACTCCGTCTCAAAAAAAAAAAAAAAAAAAAACTGCTATTCAGTAGTACTTTAAATTCAGGAATACACAAAAGTGTTTGTACACAAAGGTATTCCTGAATTTAAAGTACTACCGAATGGCAGTTAAAAAAATGCGTATATTTATACACACACACACCACACATGCACACCCACATACACGTGGGGTGTGTGTGTGTGTGTGTGTGACTTTCTAAACTAGAAATAATTATTTGCTTTGCTGTTAATGTTACCGGAAAAGTTCTTCTCTCTCCTCTCTGTTCTCTAGTTTTTACCAATTTAATATGTACCATACAACATTTCCCTCAACCTCTCCCACCCACGTTGACCTTAACCTACTTTGGCCTTCTCATATGTAACACTTTTTGTCTTATTCAAAGTTATCCTGGCTCGAAGTATTCTCTAGTTGTCACATATATGCTTTTTTTTCCACTAATAGGAACAGTAAGCTCCTTGAAAGTAAGAGCTTTTCTCTTCATTATATTTTTACCTGATGACACAGTGTTTAGGCATGTACTAGATGTTCAATAAATAAAATACTTACTGACTTGGACTTTTTAATTTAATGTAATCTTTAAACCATCAATCCAACCCATCTGTTTTGGAGCATATTTTTAGTATATCTTTGACTAAAATATTAGATTTTTTTCTCTTTCCAGGTCTGTAAACTGCAGCAAAAAGTTCAAAACTCAAAGATGAGTAAAGCTTCAGGTATTCAGCAAGAAGGCAGCGACCTTAAAGGATCAAGGAACATAAAAAATAGCCCCAGAAAATGCTTGACTGACACTAACCTTTTTCAGAAAAACAGCACCTTTCATCCAATACGAGTTCATAATCTTCAAGTGAAATTGAGAAGAGATGATATCATGTGGGAACAGTAACAAAATAGCAAAACTGTCACCTTAAATGAACTTTGTCAATGAGACCTTGAATTGTCTAAAGTGGTTTTAATTTAATACAACTTTGTGACATTTGAATCATGTTTGAATCATGTTTCTAGCTTCTATAAAACATGAAGTTGTAGTATTTTAAAATTGATGCCCAATGACCTACTGCGTTCCAAATAATAAATTATTGCTTTTTTATTTTTCTTATTGATTGAAGCCCCTAACCTCATCCTGTCTTAGAAACATTGTTCATTTTGCAGATATCTTAAGTTAAATTTAAGAAATTATACTAGATTGACAGTATTCAAAATTGAGTTAAATCTGAGCTACAAGTACCATTCATTCCACTTTTCATTTAATAGGCTTTTGACCTTAAAAACCAATGTTAAGTGAACAGAGTTCAGAAAGATCATTTAGCTTTCCTGGTGCTTTCTTTCTATTTTGTTTTAGAGATGAGTGTGAAATGTTTTTCTCTTTTGGAAAGGGGAAAGCTGAAGTTACACAGTTTTGTGAAGAAGACTTTAATCCAAATTTTTATGAGACAATAGGAACCCATAGCTACTTAATTTTTAGGAGACAGAATTCTATTGCAGAAGCTTTCCTCTCCTATTCCCATTCACTTTTACAAAACTAGTTTTTTTAAAAAAATCAATGATCAATTTTACTACTTTATAATTTTTGCTGACTTTTATTCTTTGCATTGTATATAATAAGACTGAATTTCTAGGACCCACAAAAGTGATATTTTTTTTATAAGAAAGTATAGAGGAAGAGAAAGCTGGGCATTTAATTGCCTCATCCAGCAGAAATTCAGTATAGTATGGTATATTTTTATTTTTTATATTTTAAAGTCAGTAATGTCAAATGTTTTTTGTGTATGCATGCTTTATAAAATTTGCACTTGATTATTTTTCTGGACACCTATGGAAACTAGTGCAATTCTTCTGAACTCTTGGTTTCTCACTCAAATCCTCTGAGGCAACTGGGGAACTAGAGTCATGAACTGAATTAGAAATAGAAGACAGACCAAAATGGTGTAATAGAGTGGAGGAGCTCAAATAAAGGGTAGCAGTTTAAGAGATGGTGATTCCTAAGGGACAGAGCTGGAAGTATGTATTTACTGAATTCTTTGAATCCATGGCTGAGAGAGTGTTCAAGTTATAGATGTGAAAGAATTTTTAGGTCAGGATCTTGGGAAGCTAAGGGGAGCAATTTTTAGAAGACAGTTTTTCTGTTTTCCTAGGAAGTTCCCAAGAAGCTTGTGTAGGAAAAAGTGGGTAATTATGGACCTTTTGGGGAGGAAGAGAACTATAATTCATTTTAATGGTGCAAAGAGATGCCATGTTAGAAGAACTTCCAGACCTGGAAGTGGGGAGGTGACTGAAGATGGGCACATTAAAACTTGGAATTGTCCTTGAAAGTAGTTAATGGCAGAGATCAAGGTTTCCTCCTGGTGTAAATAGTGCATGTACCGTCTGCCAGCTTTCACTCCCTTCATCCCCACCCTTAGCTCCTCAGCCCTGGAAATGTTCCATAGGGTATTTGATCTAAACTCAGTTGTATCACTTTACCTGTTTTTCTTTTTCTTTTTTTTTTTTTTAATTGTCTTTTTGCCAACATTTGGAACTTTTTTTTTTTTTTTAAGAAAAGGAGTGTATTTAGCTTAATAACTGAAAAATCCATAGATAGGTAACTTCAGATATGCATACATCCAGGAATGCAAACAATGACATCAGGACATACTCTCATTTTCTCTTTGTTGACTTCAAAGAGTTTGTTCTCACATATCGATTTCTTGCCACCTTTCCCCAATGTTCAACTTTTTTTTTTTTTAAAAAAAGAGAGAAAGAAAGAAAAACAAAGAATAATAATAATAAAATGAAGGAGAGGAAGAAAGAGAAGAGGAAGAGGGAGAGAGAACGAAGTGTTGCTTTATTGCCCGGGGTAGAATGCAGTCTAAAAATGGTATTGAAAACCTCTTTTATGCTTAATAATGGAAACAGAAAAAAAAAATAAAAAATAAATGAGGGAAGAAAATAACAAACAAACAGCCAACCAATATTTCATTTAAACCTGTGAGTAGGTGTGATGTGGTACTGATAAGAGTGTGTATTTTGTGTATTTAAAGTGAAGAGTTCTATAAATGTTTATTAAGTTTACTTGTTCCGGATCTGAGTTCAAGTCCTGGATATCCTTGTTAATTTTCTGACTCATTGATCTGTCTAATATTAATGTTGAAGTCTCCCATTATTATTGTGTGGGAGTCTAAGTCTCTATAGGTCATTAAGAGCTTGTCTTATGTATCTGGGTGCCCCTATATTAGGTGCATATATATTTATGATCATTGAGTCCTGTTGTTACTTTGATCCTTTTACCATTATGTAATGTCCTTCTTTGTTTCTTTTAGTCTTTGTTACTATTAAAGTATATTTTGTCAGAAATGAAAGTAACAACTCCTGTTGTTTTTTTTTTCTCTCTCCATTTGATTGGTGAGTCTTCCTCCAACCTTTTGTTTAGAATCTTTGTGTGTCCTTGCTTATGAGATGGATCTGGCCACAGCATGCCGATGGGTTTTGACTTTTTATTCAAGTTGCATGTCTGTGTCTTTGATTGGGGCATTTAATACATTTAAATTTAGGATTAATATTGACATTTGTGAGTTTAATATTGTCATTTAATGCTAGCTGACTATTTTGCCCATCAGTTGATATAGATTCTTCATTATAAAGATACTCTTTATCTTTTGGTAAGTTTTTGGGATGACTGATACTGGTTGTTCCTTTCTGTGTGTAGCGCTTCTGTCAGAAGCTCTTGTAAAGCAGGCCTGGTGGTGATGAAATCTCTGAGTGCTTGCTTGTTTGCAAAAAATTTTATTTTTCCTTCATTTATGAAACTTAGTTTGGCTGGATATGAGATTCTGGGTTGAAAATTCTTTTCTTTGAGGATATTGAATATTACCCCCCACTCTCTTCTAGCCTGTAGGGTCTCTGCTGAGAGATCTGCTTCCCTCTATGGGTAACCTGACCTTTCTCTCTAGCTGCCCTTAGAATTTTCTCCTTTATTTCAACCCTGGTGAATCTAACGATTATGTGTCTTGGGGTTGCTCTTCTTGAGAAATATCTTTGTGGTGGTCTCGGTATTGCCTGGAGTTGAGTATTGTCCTGCCTTACTAGATTAGGAAAGTTTTCCTGAATAATATCTTGAAAAATATTTTCCAGCTTGGATTCATTCTCTTCATGACATTCAGGTACACCTATCAAACATAAATTAGGTCTTTTCACATAGTCCCATATTTCCTGTACACTTTGCTCATTCCTTTTTACTTTTTCTTCTCTAATCTTGCCTTCTGATTTCATTTCATTAAGTTGGTCTTCGACCTCTAATATCCTTTCTTCTGCTTGATCAATTCGAGTGTTAAAACCTGTGCATACTTCTCGAAGTTCTCTTATTGTATTCTTCAGTTCCATTAATTCACTTATATTCCTCTCTAAATTGTTCACCCTTGTTAGGATTTCGTCAAACCTTTTTTCAACGTTCTTAGTTTCCTTACATTGGGCTAGAACATGTTCTTTTAGCTCACAGAAGTTTCTTATTATCCAATTTCTGAAGCCTAATTCTGTTATTGGAACGCACTCATTCTCCATTAAGCCTTGTTCCCTTGTTGATGAGGAACTGTGATCCCCTGTGGAGGGAGAAGCATTCTGATTTTGAGTATTCTCAGCCTTTTTACGTTGTTTTCTTACCGTCATTGTAAATTTATCCACCTGTCGTCGTAATTACCGACTTTCAAATTAGGTCTCTGAGTGGACGTCCAACTTGTTGATTCCCAGCGCTGAAATCTGAGCAACCCACTGTGTCGGCTAAAACAGCGGTGCCAAGACTCCTGGTGCTTTTCTGCCCGGGAATCTCCGGTCTGGCTTCCTTCCTGGGTCCCCCTTTCAATCAGCTGAATGGGCGACTCTGCCTTCCTGGAGCCTCCAACATCGACCAAAAGGGGAACCAGTTCGTTCACTCCGCACCGGGAACAGCTGCTGGCCACAAGAGTCAAGCTGGCGACCCGTGGGGCCCCTCCGCTGGGAATCTCCTGGTCCGTGAGCAAAAAAATTAGTCTGACGTTCTCTGTGTTTTCACTGGGAGTTACATTCCCGAGCTGCTAGTAATCGGCCATCTTGAATCTCTCTCCCCACAACTTTACCTGTTTTTCTACTTTGCCTTTCCTCCTTGAGGATATGAGTTTTATAGTTAAAGCTTAGCTTTCTGCTAAACTTTTTAGCTTTCTGCTACCCATCAGGGACCATAACGCAGACCTATATTTCTGTGCCTTTGTTTTCTATACATTTAGAAAGGTGGCTGAATATATTTAGTTATTAATAAAGTCATTACTTGTGAAGATGGATTGCTTTAAAAATTACCTTTAAAAATTTTAAAGCCATTTTGGAAACATGAAATATTTCCATTGAGAATTTTCTTGAAAATTAGTCCAGTGTAGTAGAAAAAAAACATGACTTCAGAGCTATGAAACTTGGTTTCAAATTCTGGGACTCCACCATTTAATAGCTTGGACAAGTCAAATAACTTTTTGGAGCCTCAGTTTCTCATCTGTAAAGTGGGGATTATACTAATATCTCCCTCACAGGATTATACTAATTTGTTGTGAGGAGTAAATGAAATAGCATGGAAAAGTACCCAGCAGAAGAGTTGGCACTTAGTAAAAACTCAATAAATATTTTTTTCAATCTGAGTGGCCCCCCAAAAAAATGTAGAGCACATGTTTGCATGAGTTGTAGCCTAAAAGCAAACACTTAAATATATTCTTGGTAAAAGTGGAAATATTCTCATTTATTTTGGGTTTAATCTCTTTCTGTGTGCCTGAAGGGAAATGGCTTTGGCATCTTTCCTAGCCTGGGTTTCTAATGGGAGGCGGTAAAGAACGCAGGTCTGTCATGGTGCTGAAATACATAACCACATACAGCAAATTGGTCTGGAGTCTGGTGTGGTTGTTGAGGTGACATTTATTATTGAGAGACAATGAAAAATGGTGTATTGTGCTCCATCACAGGTACTAAACTCGCAGACTGCCTGCTTGCCAGAGCCTTTGACTCCTCGGGAGGTGGAGCAAAAGATTTCTTTCCTGGATGGAGCAGGCAGTCTATGGTCAGTGTACAAGAGTTGCTATAGCAACCTCACAGCTGTGCCCTGTCTAGCAGAAACTTTGGTATGATTTCATGGATTTTGTTCACTTAAGTGAAAAACGGAGTTGTTGGTTTTTATTTAATTTGAAATTGAAATAATGGAGTTGGAATTTTCTAGCCATGGCAGGTCTCAATTTTGATGAAACTGAAGCCAGAAAGTGCCAGTGTTTGAAGCAGCAGGTATTGTAACTATATTCTGATACTGGAAATGGGAGTTGGAATCCTGAATTAACTGTACTTGGGTGGATCATTGGCAACCCAGCCATTTTTATTAGGTTGCAGCTAAAGACGGGAGGGTCAGAGGGAAATGTTCAGTTTTCAACAATGTAAGATTAAAGTGGGAGATGCTTAGTACACAGTAAGCTAACTGGCTGGGATAATGTACTTGAAAATTATTTTTGAGTTTTTTTTGATAGCTTTCTTTATTCTTTTTTTTTCTATACCTGCAGGTAGATGTGAGAGCCTTCTTAACTTTAAAAGTATAATTTTAACGATAAATGTGTATTCTTAATCCATAATACATTAAAAATTAACTAAAACTTTTAATTGTACTGTTAGAAATCAGTCTAAGGGGGAAGAGGCCAGTTGGTTATGCATAATGGAAGGAGTGTGTGTTGTAGACAGAAATGCAACAGCTGCCATTATTGGCGTAGAGTAAATAATGAAACTTCTAATGGGGTTCCTGGAAATCTATTCAGCTGTAACTAAGGCTTTCCCTACTGAGAACATTTAATTGTAGGTTATGTTTAGATAAGTGCAAGCTGACTCTCAGACATATGACAAGACAAACCTCACTAAGGCATAATAGCATCTGTGAGATTTTTTTAAAACTCTTTATGGGTTGCCATTGCACCTTTTAATTAAAGTGAGATGAGGATAAATAAAAATAATATTGACTGTCACTCATCTGAAAATAAATTTACTTCTTGGTAATTAAATAGACCTTATCAATGCCTCATCTTTTTCTTAGCATTCCATCTATGTGTTTTCATGGAAATTTCTCTGCCATTTTTTTTTTTTGTTTGTGTTTTTTCATGTGAGGAGAATTAGACACATAGGAAAAGTATAAAGTTAAACCTTTAAAATAATGTCTGAGCCAGAGTTTGTTGTTACTTTTGCTGTAGATTGTTTACTTAAAGAATTAGATTTTTTTTTTCCTGGTGGGTTTATTGGGAGTGTTTGCCTTATTGATACAGATGGATCCAATTCCCATTTGGGGCTGGGAGCTGTGGCTCATGCCTGTAATCTAGCATTTGAGAGGCCAAGGCAGGCGGATCACCTGAGGTCAGGAGTTCAAGACCAGCCTGGCCAATATAGTGAAACCCTGTGTCTACTAAAAATACAAAAAACTTAGCTGGGCATGGTGGCGTGCACCTGTAGTTCAGCCACTCAGGAGGCTGAGGCAGAATAATCGCTTAAATCTGGGAGGCGGAGATTGTAGTGAACGGAGATTGTGCCATTACACTCCAGCCTGGGCAACAAAGTGTGACTCTGCCTCAAAAAGAAAAAAAAAAAAAGGAATAGCCCAGTATTACTTGTCTGGGGAGGGGCAGGATGTGGTTCCCCTAACAGTGGGCACCAGAATGGCGCTTTCTTTGATATGCTAAGAGGAAGAGGTTTGAGAGCCAAGAGTTCCATATTTGGATATTGGTATGACTTGTTCATCAGCTAGTAGATATTGATCTCTAATTATTGATTTCAAAATACTGTACTAGCTGCTATGAAATTCCATTTTCAAGTTGCTTATAGTCTTGATAGAAAAGATAAGACATATATATATATGTATATATGGAAGAAAACAGTAGGGGACATGAATGGCATAATCACCACCACAGAGCAGATGCTCAGTAAATATTTGCCTACTCAGTATTTGTTTTCATTTACTGATAAAGTCCTTTAGAAGTTGGCCTGTTTGTAATTTCTTCATTTTCTAACTATCTGATTTATAAACCTTCACCTTTTTAAATTGTTTGCCTGGCAGCAGTATTGGTCTAGGATTTTCACTCTTTATTAGGCCTCTTGATTGAAGATATCAGTTCTTTTAGTCATTTCAAACATATGCCAGCCATAGCCAGTCTATAATCAAATTCCAAGGCATGAGTGGAAAAAGTGGGTATGAAACAATGAGGTAAATGGAGAGGAAGTGGGGGGAAAATCAAGCAATAATGGCAGACTAAAACAGAAAAATAAGAATTATACAGAATGGTTACATTCTAGAGGCCAACTATTGAGTTGCACAGAATTATGCAAATGATTGACATTTACTTTCCTTATGAACCTAAGCCACTCAATTTCTGCATACTTCAGCCTCCTCAGTGTTTTTCATACTACATACAGTCATATTATCAAAGGAATTTAGCAGGTCACTACCAGCATTTTATGATATAAAATAGCATTGAAAATATCAGAATGAGGCCAGGTGCAATGGCTCATGCCTGTAATCCTAGCACTTTAGGAGGCTGTGGTGGGCAGATTGCCTGAGCTCAGTAGTTCAAGACCACCCCAGGCAACATGGTGAAACCTGGTCTCTACTAAAAATACAAAAATTAGCCGGGCATGGTGGTGTGCACCTGTAGTCCTGGGTACTCGGGAGGCTGAGGCCAGAAAATTGGCTTGAACCAGGGAGGTGGAGGTTGCAGTGAGCTGAGAATGCACCACTGCACTCCAGCCTGGGCAACAGAGTAGGATTCTATCAGTTAAAAAAAAAAAAAATCAGAGTGCATCACACATAATTCAGGTAGCTAATGTTTTGTGAAACTTTATGAGTACTGGGTTATCATTTTTAATGTAGCTCTAAATATTTTTGGGGGAAGAAAAAGTTGGCTCTTAATAAGTATTCAGTGAGAATGAATTTGGAAGATGTGGAGAAAAGTGGAGTAGCCAATTTAGAGTAGGAATACTCCAAAGTCCCTTGTTATGTCTGTGTGAATCTATTGTTTATTCCAGAAATATTGTGTATTTGTTTCATGTGTTTTACAGATACAAATCTCATTTTCATTAATACTATTGCATTTCCTATTCTATAGAATACAGTTTTCAAACACTAGCCAACTTAGAGAAGTGTTGCTTTTCTAATATGGGCAAATAAATGTATTCAATATGAATCCCTTAACAAAATGACCTCATTATTCCACCTAACCAAGCATGAGACTATGATTAGGAAAGAAAGTTGCTCTGCAGGTGGTTCAGACAGTTTTACCAACTGATCAAGATGTGAGATTTGTGGGAGAAAAACTCTTTCTATCTGCTTGTTTCCAATCTGAAAAGAGCAAAGATCTGTCATTTGACAAACCATATTTTTCTGAGCATCAATGGTCAGTGGCACCATAAAAATTAAAAATCTGGGCCGGGCACGGTGGCTCACCCCTGTAATCCCAGCACTTTGGGAGGCCAAGGCGGGTGGATCACGAGGTCAAGAGATTGAGACCATCCTGGTCAACAAGGTGAAAACCTGTCTCTACTAAAAACACAAAAAATTAGCCGGGTATGGTGGCACGTGCCTGTAATCCCAGCTACTCAGGAGGCTGAGGCAGGAGAATTGCTTGAACCCAGGAGGCAGAGGTTGCGGTGAGCCAAGATCGTGCCATTGCACTCCAGCCTAGGTAACAAGAGCGAAACTCCGTCTCAAAAAAAAAAAAAAAAATTAAAAACCTGATAATACCACCAACGTAGTACTCTTTAAAAACATATCATCTTCTTTTTGGGCAATCAGCCTGACTGAATCTTTTTAAATCAGTAAGTGGATAAGTATCTTACCTGAAAGATAGCTTCATTAAATAAACTGACTCCTGAGAGGATTTCTCTGGTTTTTAATACCCTATGTAACAGATTTCTTGTAACCCTATCACCAAAGTCACTGCTCTGGACTATGGTCAGAATGTAGGAAGAAGTGTTTGTAGAGTAATGAGCAATAATAAGGTCACCAAATACAATCTCATTATAATGGGATTCTCTACCCACTTGTAAAAGTTTATTCACCACTACAAATTACTAAAGTTATTTAAACAAGTAAAGAAAGAAATCTTAGTCTTTAAGAAAAGAGGATTGTGAGGTGAGCCAGACCTTTCACTTCACATAGCTAAAATAATGTACTTTTTAACCTGACTTGGCTTAATGTAATTAAGCAAATTTTAGGATAGCCTCTAAAAAACTTTGAGAGGCATTTTGTGGTTGTTGTTGTTGGTTTGCCTTAAAGTTAAATATACATTGACTTGTAGGGTATTTCTTGGAAAAACCTATTACTGAACCTAGTACAGAATGTGAATCACTTTGTGCCTGAAATACAAGATTGATGTTTATAGGACAATTGTCCAGAATCTTGCTGATTGAAAAGTATTTCACTCTCCATCACTGTAGGTCCTTCTACCTTTACAAATGTGTTATTTATAACATAAACCATTTTAGTGTACAGGAAACCCACTTAAAATTAAGTTTTAAAATGCTCGAGAATTCTGTAGGACATTTATGGTTTTATAACTTATAATTTCTAGCACAAGTATCTTAAATACCTTGCAAAATATTTTCAGAGACAGCTTACCCAAAATATGTAATACATGTGAGAGAATAGCACTGTTGAAATGACTGAACACATAAAAAGCATTATTACCTTCATTTTCCCCAAAATGAACCAATCTACCAATTTAAAGCTGGGAAATTCTGTACCTGATTTAAAAAGAAGTTACTCTAAAGATACCTGCTTTTACTTTAATCTCAAAAATAATTGATTTTTAAAAACTTATTTTATGTGTATAACTTCTCTGTTGATAAACTTGGAAGAATTTATATAAGTATTACATTCCTTGATTCTCTCAAGGTATGATTTAAATGGTAGACACTTAAGCGAAAATTTCAAACAGGGTTCTTTTTTCTTTGTTCTTTTACAGAATGGCTTTCAAGTTGAAAGAGGGCTGGGCCTTTGGTATTTGGGTAGGATCTTTCCCTGTGATTTCTCATTCTCAGAGCATTCCCATAAATAATACCACAAAGTAGAGTTTGAGTCTCTTAAACCATTCTACTAAAATACTATTGGTTTAAACTACCATCAACAGAAATAAAAAACATAAACCACTCGAAGACTAAAGCTTTAGAAAATGAGTTTATATGCAAAGAAAACTTACAAGGGAATACAGACTTTAGAAGATAGGCTTATCAAATGAAAAAACCTACAAAACTACCAAAGT